CCCCAAACTGCAGGCCAGCTCTATTTATGGCAGAAAAATCTCACTGAGAGTAAAAGACGGACTGTTTCTGGATATAGCTGGCTTATGAATCCTCAGCCAAATCATTTTGTTGAGATTCCCACCCATATCTTAACAGTCTCCAAGCACTGAATCACATCCTCCAGCCAGCATGGGGAATTCTGGGGGTTGAAGTCCACACCCATATCTTAACAGTCTCCAAGCACTGAATCACATCCTCCAGCCAGCATGGGGAATTCTGGGGGTTGAAGTCCACACCCATATCTTAACAGTCTCCAAGCACTGAATCACATCCTCCAGCCAGCATGGGGAATTCTGGGGGTTGAAGTCCACACCCATATCTTAACAGTCTCCAAGCACTGAATCACATCCTCCAGCCAGCATGGGGAATTCTGGGGGTTGAAGTCCACACCTCTTAAAGTTACCAAGTTTGAAAAGCACTGCTTTAAAAGAACTGCCAGCTGAATTTACTTTTGCAGAGGAGAGCACGGACAAAATTGCGGTCGGGTTCTTTAAGGCAAAGCACGTGACGCTCCGTGCCTCAGAAGCGGAAGGCGATGGGGGAAATTGTGGAATTGCTAATGTGACTTTAGAAGAACAGACGTTGCCTTTCGTAAGGTTGTTGTCGCCGAGAGCGCTCTCTAAACATCAGGACTTATTCAAAATGAACTGGATGGATTAAAACTGCTTACAATTTGGGAAATCTTTCCGGGAAGGGTAAGTAGTTGGAAAGGCAATCCAAGCAAAATGGGCGGGAATGGGAACGGAAACGTTGAATTCTAGAAACCCTTTGTAAATCTCATGGGCTGGATGTTTACCCTGCCCTAAAAGTCAAGTGTAAAAGCAGAGAAAAGGCAGCATGGCTTAGCTTGTGTAAAGCTAACCAGATTTTTTTTTTTTTTTTTTGGTAAGCCTAGTTTAACGACGCGGGGAAGCATTTAACTTCCAGTGTAACTGAAGCGGGGGGGAGGGGCGGAAATCTTAGCAAATGCGCGCATTATCTTTAGGACAAACAAGGTTTTACATTCTTTTCAAGGTTAAACTGTACTGCTAGCGCACGTGGAGCAGAATCCACTCCCAGTAGCGTCCTACCATTTCAGGCTCACTGATCGCCAGCAGCGAGAGAACCTGGGACCCTTAAGCTGTAGATTACAGCAGCGATGCTTACAAGCACATGCAGGGACAATGAGGTCAATGAAAAACTCTGTTGTTTATTAGTCTGTACTCCAAATGTGAAGACCACAAAATTCACATTGTTTTAATTTGTATTTGTATTTTCAAAGGATTTTTTAGTTCCTGTACTTCATTCATTATATCTCTGGAACTGTTCTTTGTAATTGGGGGCGGGAGGGAAAAATGTGAAGATCCTCTTACTGTATTATTATTAAAATAGTAAGCTTAGTAAAATGACTTTTGCTGTGGGCAAAAGTGAACTCTGATGCATTGTGTAAGTTCTCGGACTGCAGCCTAAGATGCTTTCTAAGATATTACATACTGTCCATGAAATCTTTGAGTGTAAATAGTGTTATTGTCTCTTGTGCAATTAATAAATGGCCCACTAAGGAGGCCTGAGAAAATAAGGCAGTTCCATGTACTGCATTTATTGGTTACAACCTCCAAAATCAAATTGTGCAAAAGCAAGTCATGTTCCTTTGACTCATATAGGAATACCATTGCTACTTGCATATATTTTTCTCAAACCTCATGGCAATTTAAAGAAGTAGATTTTCTAGTAGTATTAGTTATGAAATAGTGTTATTTTTGTAAATCATGTTTGGTCTACGACTGTAAATAAAATTTTGATGATTTGATTTGTAAATTTTCCATAGCACTCAATGTTCCATAACTGAATTTAGACATAGATAAGTTAGATCATAAATATTAATTCAAAGCTCTTTTCCTCCCAATAGGATGACCAAAAAAACCCTGTGAAAAACAGAGACCTTGGTACAGTGGGTATCTAACATCACTTGTACACATGAAACAAAATACTTAACAAGGTATCCTTCTAACATATCCTTTACAGAGCAATTTTCTAAACATCGAAGTCTGGATTCACCTATTTTGCTAAACCAAGGTTATACAACTTCTTCAGATATTATTATTATTATTAATATACTTCCACGCCTTATATTTAACATTTTCCACGTTATTTCATTGAAAAATGCAGTATTGTGGCAAAATTTGAAAGGGATCTAGGGCCTGAGTTGTGTACCCCTACACTAAACCAAAATCAAGCAAATCCCATTATAGTTTAGTTTGATATATGAACCCAGCACATTTGAGTACGCTTCTACTTTCTGCACATTATGTGAACCTATTTAAACATCCTTCAGTTCCAATATATTGTAATCAAATAATACATGACACTTTGGTCCTAATTCCACTAATGCTTACAAACATGCTAACTTGCTTTGAGAATAGTCTTGTTTTTGTATGAAACTGTTCAGTTTAAAGTTTCACTTCTAAAATCTGGTAATTAAAATTATCACCACTGTTTTTTTGTTCTGCTCTGAGACTAATCAAATAAAGGCAGTTGAAAAAAGCTTGCATAAAAGCATGCCTGTTCCAGAAGCGTTACTGTTTGGGGATGACAGAATTATGCAGGTGACTGGTATTAGCATTATTATGTTAGATATTTCAGTACAATTTTTCATTAGTTGTCTAAGAGCTAAGGGAGAGGGCATGGTTAAGGTATACAGTGGAACCTCGGGTTACGAATTTAATTCATTCCGTGACTCTGGTCGTACCCCGAAT